GGGGCGGGGCGGCGGGGGTGCCGGGACACTCTCTCCGAGGAGCCCAGTCCCTGCAGACTCCCTTGGCCGCTCGCGCCTGTTTTCCTCGGGGCTCCTCCTCCTCTCACCCCAAACGTGCGCGGAACCCAGCCTGTGATCCAGGCCGAGTTAAATGTCCATTTCTGACCCCTCCATGAGCTCTAGACTCAAACACATTAACGGCCGACATTTACTGAGCGATTCCTATGTGTGTTACTATTTGTCACAAAGACCTACTTCTCCAATAGTTACTTTGTTATCTCCATTGGACAGAGACAAAGACTGAGACAGAGAGAAAGTAACTTGCCGAAGGTCATATAGTTGGTGGAAGAGTCTGGATTCAAACCCAGGCAGCCTGACCACCGAACTCCCACGCCAGCTCTCAATGCCTACCCGATGTCTCCACTGGATGCCCTAAAGGCCTCTCAGACTTAACACATAAGACAGAAGCATAAAACAGACGTATTCTCCAGCGCCACTCTCTGCAAATTGCACCACTGGTCACCTGGTGCTCGCTATGGATGGCTCCCCTGTTTCCAGCCCATCAATAAGACCCGTTGGTTCCACATCCTAAACTAAGCCTCCCTCATACCTTACCTCCTCCCTGGCCTGGCTGTTTCCACTCTGATCCTATCAAACCATTCTCCAGACTGTAGCCAGAGCGAGCTTTTGAGAGATGTAACTCGGATCTTAGCACGCCCCTGCTTAAAACCCTTCAGTGTCGCCCCAATTTTCTTAAATGGAAATTGGTACCCTCTGCTGTGGTTCATAAAGCCATTCCTGATGGGGCTTCTGGATCCTCCTCCCACAGTTCCATCCTGACTCGGGACTCTGGTCCTGCCAGGTTTGCTGTGGCCACAGCCCTGGCAGAGCTCAAACCCTCGACTTCCTCAGGTCTGTATCTGGTGCTCCCTCTTCCTGGGCTGTTTTCCTCCTGGGTTTTGCATGGCTGGCTCCTCGGGCTTCCAGTTCAAAAGTTACTATTAGGGGCACAGTCT